TAAGCACATGATCGATCATACATATTTAATGATCCATCATGAACTAGTATAGCATCCAGTGAAGTTGTAAATATTCCCACAAATGTTGTAAACATACCACTGAGGTTGTAATTATTCCCACAAAATATGGTAAAGATACCACTCAAGTTGTAAATATTTTCATAAATTTGGTAAACAATCCATCAAAGTTGTATATACTTCCACACCATTAAATTTGTAAATATTCCCGTAAAGATGGTAAATGATCCATTGAAGTTGTATATCATCTTGGACTAGTTGTAAAATATTCATAAATTAAGCATGTGTTTTCTAATCGATCATGCATATTTATTGATCGATCATGAACTACTACTAAAGCATCCATTGAAGTTGTAAATATGCCCACAACTTTTGTAAATATACCACTGAGGTTGTAATTATTGCCACAAATTTGACAAAAATACCACTGAACTTGTAAATATTTCCATAACTTTGGTAAACAATCCATCTAAGTTGTAAATACTTCCACAAATTTGTTAAACAATCCATTCAAGTTATAAATATTCCTTCAATATAGTAACAAAATTACTAGTAAGGGAATATTTACAACTTTAGTGGTAAAATATTTACAACTTCAATGGTATGTTTACTAAATTTATGAAAATCTTTACAACTTCAATGGATTCAAATATTTACAACTTTGTGGGGAGATTTGATCGATCGTGGGGAGAGTTGATCGATCACAAACTTACTATTTTTCAAAAAAAATTGGGGGAAACTACTTCAATCTTGCGATAGATCACAAGGTCTTAGAATAGATCGCANTGTGAAAATCTTTACAACTTCAATGGATTCAAATATTTACAACTTTGTGGGGAGATTTGATCGATCGTGGGGAGAGTTAATCGATCACAAACTTACTATTTTTCAAAAAAATTTGGGGGAAACTACTTCAATCTTGCGATAGATCACAAGGTCTTAGAATAGATCGCAAATATTTTGGAGATAAAAAATAATAATAATTTTGATATATTCTAAAAAATAATAATAATTGCCACTTTTATTTACCACTTTTATGAGAATATTTATAATTTGAATGAATTCTTTATGGAAATAATTACAATCTCAGTGGTTTGTGTTACTAAATTTATTCGTTTAATTGATGTATCAAAAATATGTTTAATAAAACTTCAATTTTAATATTTTTTTAAAAGTTATCCAATTTTTATAAAATAAATTTAAAATTGAATTTTTATTAAACATATTTTAAAATTGAATTTTGAAAAATTGATCAAATTGTTGTTTGATCTATCAAATTCTTGTGATAGATCATAAACATTCATAAAAAATTTTCCACTATTGTTGTAAATTTTTCACTAATATTGTAATTTGTACCACTATTGTTGTAATTTTTCCACTACTCTTATAAATTTTTCATTAATATTGTAACAGAACAATCATAAAGAGAAAGACAAAAAGTCCATGATTNTTTTCACTAATATTGTAATTTGTACCACTATTGTTGTAATTTTTCCACTACTCTTATAAATTTTTCATTAATATTGTAACAGAACAATCATAAAGAGAAAGACAAAAAGTCCATGATTGATCAAACATATATTTGATCGATCATGGACTAGTAATGAATTCATTGAAGTTGTAAAGATTATCACAAATTTGGTAAACATACCACTAAAGTTGTAAATATTCCCATAAATTTAGTAAATATACTACTGAAGTTGTAAATATTCCCACAAATTTTGTAATTTTATTCACTACTGTTGTAAAATGTTCACTAATGTTGTAATTTTGTTTACTATAGTCGTAATCGTTCCACTAATATTATAATTTTGCCCTCAATTGACTTAATGGCGGTAAGAGAGAGACAAAAAATCCATGATCGATCACACATATATTTGATCGATCATGGACTAGTAATGAATCCATTTACAACTTTAGTGGTATATTTACCAAAATTATGATAATCTTTACAACTTCAATGGATTCATTACTAGTCCATGATCGATCAAATATATGTTTGATCGATCATTGACTTTCTGTCTCTCTCTCTACACCACAAATTTGGTGAGAATATTTACCAAATTTGTGAGAATATTTACAATTTCATTGCTATATTTATTAAATTAGTGGGAATATTTACAACTTCAGTGGTATGTTCACCAAATTTGTGATAATCTTTACAACTTCAATGGATTCATTACTAGTCTATGATCCATCAAATATATGTTTGATCAATCATGGACTTTCTGTCTCTCTCTCTACACCACAAATTTGGTGAGAATATTTATTAAATTTGTGGGAATATTTACAACTTCATTGGTACATTTACTAAATTTGTGGGAATATTTATAATTTCAGTGGTATGTTTACCAAATTTGTAGAAATCTTTACAACTTCAATGGATTCATTACTAGTCCATGATCGATCAAATATATGTTTGATTGATCATGCACTTTTTTGTCTCTCTGTTTATGATTGTTCTGTTACAACATTAATGAAAAATTTAGAAGAGTAGTGAAAAAATTACCATAATAGTTGTACAAATTACAATATTAGTGAAAAATTTACAATAATAATGGAAAAAATTTACAACAATAGTGAAAAAAATTTTATGAATGTTTATGATCTATCACAAGAATTTGATAGATCAAACAACAATTTGATCGATCAAAAATTTGATAGATCAAACAACAATTTGATCGATTTTTTAAAATTCAATTTTAAAATATGTTTAATAAAAATTCAATTTTAAATTTATTTTAAAAAATAAATTGGATAAATTTTAAAAAAAATATTAAAATTGAATTTTTATTAAACATATTTTTGATACATCAATTAAACAAATAAATTTGGTAACACATACCACTGATGTTGTAATTATTCTCATAAAGAATTCATTCAAATTAAAAATATTCCCATAAAAGTGGTAAATAAAAGTGGCAATTATTATTATTTTTTAGAATATATCAAAATTATTATTCGGAATATATCAAAATTATTATTTATTTTTATCTCCAAAATATTTGCGATTTATCCTAAGATCTTGTGATCTATCGCAACGTTGAAGTAGTCTCCCTCAAATTTTTTTGAAAAACAATAAGTTTGTGATCGATTAAATCTCTCCACGATCGATCAAATCTCTTCATAAAGTTGTAAATATTTGAATCTATTGAAGTTGTAAAGATTTTCACAAATTTGGTAAATATACCATTTAAGTTGTAAATATTCTCACAAATTTGATAAATATTCCCACAAATTTTATAATTTTATTCATTACTGCTGTAAAATTTTCACTAATGTTGTAATTTTGTTCACTATAATCCTAAAGTTCCCACTAATGTTGTAATTTTGCTCTCAATTGACTTAATGACAATTCAAAAATATTTCTTGTCTTGTCATTTCAATGTTTTGTCTTGTCTACCAATCGATGTAAATATATCATAAATTTAGTAAACATATCATTAATGTTATAATTTGGAATTTCGATTAGATACCGAAAATATTCTTGGATGTACCATAACCTTCTCCTTCTACTAATATTATCTGACATGTCATTTCAATGTCTTGTCATGTCTATTAAACCGGTACCAAACAAGGTGTCGATTCACTTTGTGTCAATTTTTATTTTTTAAAAGATACATTAATTAATATTTCACTTTTAGTTTACCATTGATTAACGCTGGACATTGAATTTCGGTATGGTACCGAAATTATCAAAATTCTCAACGAGTGTACCCTAGTCGGATCCCCAATCCCCAATTTAATGCGAGAATACAGGGTGACAGTCCCATCATAATAAAGGATCCCACATGTTGACCTGTAAATTTGTGCCACACAATAGACAATAAAATTTATTTGAGCAACGCTGTAGGAACAGAAACAATCTCTCTGTCATACACAGACGATCTCTTCCGCTATTTTTGGATCTTAAATGATGGGTTATAGTATTAATAGTCTTTGATTAATGAGTAATATTACTTGGATTTTATTTAAAGATTTAATAATATAATTTTAATATAATTATTAAATTAATTGTGAATTTTAATGTTAAATAGAATTCACAATCAATATAATGATTGTACATCATTAAATACCTAAATTAAGTCCTCAAATAAAGGCCAAATAGTATTTTTCTTGAATAATTATTGAAAATTTGTGAGACTTATTGATTTTTATGGTTTACATTAATTTAAAATTTAAAGTTTAATAAAGAATTTAGTAGATGTTGCATTATTGCATCTCAACTAGATTGTCATCTCAACCCACTAGCTCAGATTACACGTTCTCAGTTTTTTGGCAGATTAAAAAAAAGTCTTACAAATTTTTTTAGAAAAGTAAACTGAAGTGAATTTCATAAAGAGTATCAATTATCAAAGTATCAAAGCAAAACAAAAACAGTNGATTACACGTTCTCAGTTTTTTGGCAGATTAAAAAAAAGTCTTACAAATTTTTTTAGTAAAGTAAACTGAAGTGAATTTCATAAAGAGTATCAATTATCAAAGTATCAAAGCAAAACAAAAACAGTTTAAGGGGGTGCTATGGCCAATCTGGAGAGAGTGCTCTATCTTCATAAGAGCAAGCAGTGACATCTATGGAAAGAAGTAAACTTCTTGCAAATAGATAGAGACTTGAGTTGAGCGTCCTGCACACTACATGATAATGCTGCTTAACATGTTCTGTAATTTAACTTTCGACATATATTATGCCTTCATGCGTTGATGTAATCAGCTGTTTTAGACCTAATTACAATGAAAGCTAAGCCTAACTAACTAACTAACTAACTGACTTGTTTACATCCTTGCAGGTGAGTGGAACTGTTCTAACAAACTTAAGATTCCTTCATGTGGTTATGTAATCCACTGCTGTAGAAGAATCTCTTGAGTGTGATGCTTGTATTGGTTAATAAATATATCTATACACTCTGTTAACCAAACGAAGGCAGTTTGCTCATATGCCTTCCTCTGTCTTTGGGATCTCTCTCTCTCTGATCATCATCGGCATGGCTTCTATGATGGAGCGTGCCGATGAAAATCTCATTCCCGCAGTTCAAAAAGAGATCGGGGAAGCTTTTCGCACTGGACCATCTGATCTCGGCTACCTCACTTTCATTCGGAATTTCGTGGAGGGGTTGGCGTCACCATTAGCCGGTACAAAACAACAAAACTTTTATTCCAATTATTTTTAAGATCGGCTATATAAATCATATTTCATGGCAGGTATGTTAGTTATTCGCCACGATCGTCCTACAGTTCTTGCCCTGGGCTCCCTGTGCTGGGCATTATCAACTGCAGCAGTGGGTATTAGCCAGTATTTCTGGCAAGTTGCATTTTTGAGAGCAGTGAATGGGGTTGGACTGGCAATTGTGATTCCTGCACTTCAATCTTTCATAGCTGACAGCTTTGATGATAGTATTAGAGGGGCTGCATTTGGGTTTTTCTATCTTATGGGTACTGTCGGTGGCATAGGAGGTGGAGCTTTTGCTACAGTTATGGCTGGTTATGAGTTCTTGGGAATACCTGGATGGCGTTGTGCCTTAATTATCATGTCAACACTCAGTTCCATCGTTGCTTTGCTGGTATTTTCGTTTGTGGTTGACCCGAGAAGAAAAAGTGCCATCAATCATAGTTGTGACAAGAACAGTGAAAGGTACGATGAGTGAGTTAATTTCATTGAATTTGTCATTACTTTTGAATATCTATCTCCCCTGATACATTCATTCTCCTTGTATTTCCTTTCAACTTCTAATTTTAAAATTAATATCATCTTTATTACATTTTTACCGACTCAATGATCTATCTCTCTCCTTGAATAGTTATATTTCACTTAATTCTATCATAGATTATTTATTGTTGACTTAAATAAATTAAAATATAATGGAGAATTTCTATATTCAAAATTAAGGAGTTATCATTACAATAATTCCAGTTTGGATCTTGCAAGAGTGTTTAAAATATTCGATGCATATAATTTAGAAATGATTTATAAGCATGTAGATTTGTACATGGCTACAAGCNGTTTAAAATATTCGATGCATATAATTTAGAAATGATTTATAAGCATGTAGATTTGTATCATGGCTACAAGCATAAAAAAGGAGGAGGTTAGCAAGGTCTTTTTCTTACACATGCAAAAAAAAAAAAAGAAGCAGCAGCAGCAGCTTATTAACATTTCTGACTTTCTTGCTAACATAGCTGCTTCCTGTCTTAGGGATGCTTTAGTAGATAAGGGCAATGCCAATTCAACATCACCTTGGCTGGAGTCCTGGACTGCAATCAAAGCAATCATGAATGTGAAAACATTTCAGTTCATTGTCTTGCAGGGTCTTGTCGGTTCCACTCCTTGGACAGCTATGGTGTTCTTCACATTTTGGTTTGAACTTATTGGTGAGCATATATGCACGCGTGTGTGTAGGTAATGTTGTTTCATGAGTAGTTAGTTGCACATGATTGTCTGCACATCCCAAAGATTTATTTTTGAAAAGTAGACCCAACCCGACCCAATAGTATTTGTGTACGTGTGTTTGCGATGTTGTTTGATGTGTAGTTATTGTACCTGATCCAATAGTATGTGTTTACGTGTGTGTGTGTGATGTTGTTTGATGGGTTGTTGCATACTATATTAAGTTGAAAAATATTGTCTTTGCATCCTAATGAAATTTATCTTTGAAAAGTCAAACCCGACCCGATAGTGTGTCTGTGTGATGTTGTTTGATGGGTTGTTGCACTTTATAGAGTTGAAGAAAATTGTCTTCGCGTCCTAATGAAGTTTATCTTTGAAAAGTTGATTCGACCGACACAATAGTGTGTGTCTTTTGTTCTTTGATGACTAGTTGCAAATTCCATTGAGTTGAAAAAAATTGCCTTCACCTCGTCATGAGGTTTATCTTTGAAAAAGTTGACCCACCCCAATAGGATTGTCTTCGCAATCTGCAAGGCTAATGTTAGTCTTTCTTGCAGGTTTTGATCACAAAAGTGCGGCTGCCATTAATAGTCTTTTCGACGTCGGATCCGCCATAGGATCCTTCATCGGAGCATTGATAGGAGACCGATTGTCACTCATTTACCCTAATTCAGGACGGATCATGTGCGCACAATTCAGTGCTTTCATGGGCATCCCATGTTCATGGTTACTTCTTAGAGTAATCCCACAGTCTGTAAGTAGTTATTTTGCATTTGCTGCCACCATGTTCATAATGGGCTTTACCATCAGCTGGTGTCACACGGCTGCCAATGGCCCTATGTTCGCTGAGGTGGTAACAGCCAAACATCGGACTATGGTATACGCATTCGATCGTGCTTTCGAAGTATCCTTATCTTCTTTTGGTGCTCCTATGGCTGGAATTCTTTCGGAGAAGATATATGGGTATAATCCCGCGGCTGTTGATCCAATTTCGGGGTCTGCGCAAGACGCCTATGCGTTGTCAAGAGGCCTTTCCACAGTGATGGCAGTTCCATTTGGTTTGTGTTGCCTACTTTACACGCCTTTGTATTGGTATTTCAAGGGGGACCGCGAGAATGCTAAACTAGCCAGTTTAGAAGAAGCAGATGTTATCTGATGACCGTTGTTTTCATTGTAGGCACATTGGTCGATTTTATGTATTGTATTTTAAATTTCTCAAGCTATCAATGTACTCAGAGCATTCTGGTAAAGATTCAGAGATCAGCAAATTTAGAGAGGAAGAAGATGGTGTTAGGATTAGATCCATAAACGACAAAAAGAGGAAGGAGATCAAGCTATAATGCTACATCAAGATCACTACNCCATAAACGACAAAAAGAGGAAGGAGATCAAGCTATAATGCTACATCAAGATCACTACAATGCACATTTAAGCCTTTGACAAAGGTAATGACCTTAGAGACCTAGATCTCTTGATTTAATTTTAGACTTATAATAATTAAGGTAAATAAAACAAAATTAGGAATTTATCCGNGACCTTAGAGACCTAGATCTCTTGATTTAATTTTAGACTTATAATAATTAAGGTAAATAAAACAAAATTAGGAATTTATCCGAAAATGATTACTAGGGTTTTTATTGAAACTATTTTCTAAATCTTAAATGTGTTTTGAACAAATAGTTTGACTCATTTATCAGACTATACTTGAGCAACACTTTTTAGTGCTCAAGATGACAAGTTTTTGTTTGATTTTTAGTTTAAAAATCAGTTGGGATTACCCTCTACTTGCTTGCATTCGACTAGAGCAGTCTCTGATGATTTAGGTATAAAATAAATATTATCAGAACTGGACCGGACATCGAATCAATAGAAGGACCGGGTCAATGGTTTACTAGTTCAACCCCTGGGTCAACTGGTCGGACCGGTCTTATAATAAAAAAATATAATATAATAAAATATAATAATTTTACTAAAAAAATTCATATTCACAATAAAAAAATAAATAGTGTAATTTGTGTGTGGTGTACTAAAGTGTACTGGGTAATGGGTATTGTCTATAACTCTGTGTGTGTGCGTTTAGACAAAGAGAGATAAAAAAGCAATACCCATTACCCAAAATCTCTTACTCTTCCCCTTTCTCTTATGAAGCGTCTCTTATGAAACAGCTCAAGTCAGCGAAGTAGCGATACTTCCTCCCCTTTCTCTTAGTGCAGCACACTGTGTTCTTGTTGGGATCCCCAACTGCTTCCTGCAACAGTTATCAGCAAGACAGTTGGAACCTTATTATACAGTAAAAGCCTGTTTGAGAGGTTCCAGGTGTTGAGATCGGATGGACCGGAGGCAGCGATCGAATGGATTATAGAAAGAGATGAAGAAATGGAGGGGAGAAGAAGAAGGTGATGACTAGATTTAGGGCAAAATTAGGAATTTTGGGCATTTTATAGAAATGGCAGTAAAATCGACCAGTTTGAAAAAACTATTCGATTCACGATTTTTGTCAAAAATCGGCCAATTTGGCGGTTTTACTCCTATTTAATTGCCTAGGCATTCCAATTCAATAACTGGACCAGCTGAGGTCCCAGTTCACGGTCCAACTGGTCAAACTGACTGGTCTGGTCCAGTTTTGATAACACTTGATAAAATCATGAAAGTTGTCAAGTTGGACAATAGAGACTGTCCTCTAGGTAGCTCTTAGGTCACTCAAGCGGTCTCTGCTTGTCGGATCTAATTTGATTAATTTTTTCATTCTAGTGACAACTGGTCTCCCATTAATCGAGCGGTCATTCTCGAATTTTGGTTTACAAAACTCCAAGCTTGACATAATTCCGAGCTTACAAATAAGGAAAACCTTCTAGATCTAGATATCTCTTTTGTGAACATATTTGCAGCCTCTCATACCTTGAGAGGTCCTTCAACAACCCTAAATCCCTAAATTTAAAGGTCATCCATCTTGAGACTCTAATCCAAATTCACACATTGGAAAGAAGATCTTGTTTGAAGATTTACCAAAACTCGCTTTGAAGAAGTGTGCATTCTAAATGATCCATTGTGGTGGACGCGTTCAAGTGAAGTTATCCATAACATCAAAAATGGACTTTTGGTGGAGAGATCTATTGAAGGAAATAAGGATCTAACTATGGTATTGATTGAGGAATAATACTCAAGTACTTGTAAATTGACCCTAGGATAATGAATTAAGTTTTGCTGAACCTCGAGTTGTTCCCCATGGTTTTTCCCTTCTATTTTTGCTTCAATAATTGTTTGTGTTCCTCATTGCTTTAAATTTACTTATACATTTGCAATTGATGCACACACACGTACTATGTATTTGATGGCTTGATTGTTTATCATTCAATCATTAAAAAGGATTTTGGTTAGTTTGCCTTGATTGTGTTAATTGTGTAATTAACATATTCATAACATCAATCTACATGGTGGAATTTTTGGGTGTGTAAAAGGTATTTTTGTGTTTCATTGTGAGAGATGATTCACCGCAAAACAGGGAATAGAGTAGTAAATTATTTAGCAAAACATGTGTCTTTCATTAGAACTTTGTTATTACAAGGAAATCCTAATGTTTTCCATTGTATTGCTAATCCTAGAGTGGTGAGTCCTATGGACTACTAAACAATCAACATATATTTTTTGATAAAAAAAAAACATATATTCATTTCCACGAATCACGCCTGAAAATCGATGGAATCAAGCCGGAGTGGATTCAGCCTTTCCAAAATATTTGAAAGAGTCCCATCACTTAGAAAATCATTACCTGGGGCTATCCCACATCGGATAGCCTTAGGGGGTGTGTGTGTTTATATGGACTCTGCAACCTTCACCTTTTTAAGGTATTGGTTATAGTTGTCCTCTGATAAAAAAAACAGAAAAATCATGTGTCTACCAGGGTGCCCGTTTGTGGGCTTTGCTAACCTCCCTCTTTAGGTCTGACCATAGGTCGGGTGNTATATGGACTCTGCAACCTTCACCTTTTTAAGGTATTGGTTATAGTTGTCCTCTGATCAAAAAATAGAAAAATCATGTGTCTACCTGGGTGCCCGTTTGTGGGCTCTGCTAACCTCCCTCTTTAGGTCTGACCATAGGTCGGGTAAGGCTTTAGGGCCTGGGTGGGTAGGGACAGGGGCTATCCCACATTGGATAGCCTTAGGGTGTGTGTGTTTATGTGGATTCTGCAGCCTTCATCTTTTTAAGGTATTGGTTGTCGTTGTTCTCTGATAAAAATAAAATAAAATCATTACCTGTTTACATAAGTTCCAAGAAAAGAAGCCATTTATATTCGGCATCCAATCCATATACATGCCACAAAACTTGAAAGCCTNGACAGGGGCTATCCCACATTGGATAGCCTTAGGGTGTGTGTGTTTATGTGGATTCTGCAGCCTTCATCTTTTTAAGGTATTGGTTGTCGTTGTTCTCTGATAAAAAAAAAAAAAAAGAAAATCATTACCTGTTTGCATAAGTTCCAAGAAAAGCAGCCATTTATATTCGGCATCCAATCCATATACATCCCACAAAACTTGAAAGCCTCCAGAAAAATTATCTCACATAAGCAAAGCCCATAATTTTCTCCACGAAATTCGCTCTTCAGTACATCTTCCAGATCACAATCCAAATGACAATTCAAAAGGCCCTGGCTCCCAAGCTGTTACGCAATCTCTAGTTGGAGATGGATCCCCTTCAATATCTCTAAAACCCATATTAGAGGGNCCAGAAAAATTATCTCACATAAGCAAAGCCCATAATTTTCTCCACGAAATTCGCTCTTCAGTACATCTTCCAGATCACAATCCAAATGACAATTCAAAAGGCCCTGGCTCCCAAGCTGTTACGCAATCTCTAGCTGGAGATAGATCCCCTTCAATATCTCTAAAACCCATATTAGAGGATTTCTTTTCCTTGGGCATCTTAAAGAACAACTTCTTTTTTTGACCTGATTAAGGTCTAAGATTCCTTTCAAACTTCATTAATTACTTTTAGAGTTAAAGCTCTTTAATTGATCAAAAAATGTAATCTAATTCAACACTCAAAGGAGGCAATGACAACATTGGAGATGTGGTGGTGGTGGTGGTGGTGAGATGGTGAAGGTAATGGTGGAGTGGCGATAGTGGTGACCACGATGTAGGACAGTGGTGATGAGTGTGAAATGATACTGATGGTGGTGATAAAAATAAAATAATTGTTATGAGATAAAAGAAGGATGAAATTAAAAGGATATTAAATTATTACTTTTGTTGTATGATATCTCTATTTTAGACCAACGAAAAAATGGACACATTTAAAGATANATTGTTATGAGATAAAAGAAGGATGAAATTAAAAGGATATTAAATTATTACTTTTGTCGTATGATATCTCTATTTTAGACCAACGAAAAAATGGACACATTTAAAGATAATGTATTTTATTTGTATTTGCTAGTATATTATTTTTTAGTCAATAATCATTCAAAATCAAATCCAAAACAAAATCAAGGGTTGCGATTAAATTTCGCACATTACTGAAATGGTAGCTTTCTATACCGNTATTAAATTATTACTTTTGTCGTATGATATCTCTATTTTAGACCAACGAAAAAATGGACACATTTAAAGATAATGTATTTTATTTGTATTTGCTAGTATATTATTTTTTAGTCAATAATCATTCAAAATCAAATCCAAAACAAAATCAAGGGTTGCGATTAAATTTCGCACAGTACTGAAATGGCAGCTTTCTATACCGTAGCCCTTATCCACAAATTAGATTCATTTTGTATAAAAAATATGTATTAAGTATCATATCACATACACAAATACACTATCCATGTACTGAATTGACTCAAGGCCCTGACAACCATGATCTTATCTAATTTTTTAAGTATAAAGAATTTGATTATTGATGATGTGTCTAGCATGATAGAGGAGTGATAAGAGATTAATGGGTTATTGATGGGCACTTAACAACTCAATTTGAGCTCCTGAGCTCTNTATTGATGATGTGTCTAGCATGATAGAGGAGTGATAAGAGATTAATGGGTTATTGATGGGCACTTAACAACTCAATTTGAGCTCCTGAGCTCTGAAGATTCTAACAATGGAAAATGATTAACACACAAAGAATTTATAGTGGTTCACCAGCTCGGTAGCTTGGCTAATCCACTCTCAAGAGAGTCTCTTGCTCCTGGGGTTTGTATTAAGAAAGGGGATTACAGATTGTTGTTCTAGTTACAATCGCTTATGTGTTATTTTNGAGTCTCTTGCTCCTGGGGTTTGTATTAAGAAAGGGGATTACAGATTGTTGTTCTAGTTACAATCGCTTATGTGTTATTTTAGAGGGTCATATCTCC